TTGAATAAAAAAGTTCCTCCATGTTCTTCACTTTCATACACTTTTATTCTTTTAAATATTTTTAGGTAAAAAAAATCTTAAATTAAGTAATTTTATATGTAATATAAAATTATAAAATATCATTATGAAATTATAATATCTTAAGATGACATGTTATGTATCTTTTTTTGCTGCACGAGTAGGAGTAGATTTTTTTTTTTGAATATATTGCAATTATTTACAGATTAATTGAGAGATGGAGGAAAAAGTTTTCATAGGATTCAAATGTACAACCCACATAATGTAAACAATACTAACTTAGCATCCAATGTACCACAAGCTAAGCATTAGATGGTAAAGGAAAAAAGTCAAAGGAAAGACCGCACATGGTTTAGGATTTAGGGTAAAGTACATGAAAGGGATAAGACTTAGGCTATAAAACCTAGAATCTCATACCCAACTCATAATCAAAATTTTGCATGTGATAATTATTGGAGACGCATTAGGTAATATTTCTTGGAAAATATATTCAAATGAGAAAAATGAATTGTAGGGAGATCTTTTGTGAAAATATCACTCGAGCTTCTTACTCAAGTATCCATCCCTAAAGTGTAAATGTATCTATTCTATAATGTTATATGGTTGAGTTCTAAAACTTTTAATAAACATGTAGCTATTATAATTTATTTTTAATGGCCAGCGATGCTTGGGGTTATCTTGATCAATAGTACATGTGGTAATTTAACAGTTTAATGCTTAATGTTATGAACAATTGATATGTGATTAATGCAATATTTGTATATAGCTAATTTGTGATTATTATTTTTAAATGATAAAAATAATGAATAAATATGTGCATGTAAAAAATGGGTTTATAAAAAAATTGAGAACCTAACTAAAAAAATTAAAGAAAAGAGTTACCAATTTATGAAAGTGAAAGTGATGAATTTGAATGACCTAGTGAAGATTTTGTGGGTGGTGTTGTTTAGAAAAGAGATTAAACTTTTTGCACCCATTGTATCACAACTAAGCCTTTGGAAAAGAAAAAAAGTTGAAAAAAAGATTAGGTGCATAATCTAGGGTTTCGTGTACATGGAGGGAATAAAACTTGGCCTAAAAAACCTAAAATCTCATATGAGGATACTTAACTCATAATTAAAATTTTTGCAGGCAATAATTCTTAGAGATTGATATCAAGTAATATTTCTTGAAAAATGGGCTCGCATGAAAAAATTGAATGCTCAATTTTCTAAATTAATCATGAAAACTAAGATCATGCAAAATGCCATATTACACTAATTATATGAAAAACTTAACTCATGGATTATTATGTATGATGTAATTCTTGTATCCTCTTATATGTCATAGTTCAAGATTAATACACTATTGAGTTTAGAATATAAATTGTGACTTAGTTAGTAAAGTTTTAAGACTTAATTATTTTTATTATGTATAATAATGCATAATTGCTTAAAATAAATTTTCATCATCTCTATTATTACTTATCCCCAACTGATGTAGTTTCCCATCCAATTGATGACATAAACCATATAGAATCAAGCCACATCACCTTGTTATTAACACACCTGAGGAGAGTGGGATTTTATATATTGCAGTTGACTGTAACTTTGAAGCAAAGCGAAAGAAAAGATTTTCAGGTTTACAATGAAAAAATTTTGTCACAATGATAATATATAAAAGGTAAAATTGCAGACACACTCCTTTGAAGTTTGAGATAGCTACATCCCCTCCCCCCAAAGATAAGATAAACGCATTTTGCACCATAAGATAAAATTAAAATTGGAAACTATTGAAAGTATTTAGGTGAGAAAAAGTGTAAATAAAAATATTAATTTTACATTTTTTTCTATTTAAAAATATTAATTT